GTTGGTGTACAAGTTTCATCATTTCCAAGTAGTACAAGCATTATCGTTGTGTCCTCGACCCCACCTTTATCCAGCGTTCTCTTGTAGATAGCGTAATAAATATTGTCAATTTGAGCTGACTTTATGTCGGTAATTTGCGAGCAAGGAATCGACTCTAGTCTTAAGCGCTCATCTTTACTTTCTAAAGAGACTTGAATCAAGTTGCCAATTGCTGGATTATGCATGTCCTTGATCAATGGAACTAACGACATGGTTGGCAAGTGAGAGAATGTTACATCGAACATTTCTGTGACGTTACACAATACACCGGTGTGACAAAAAAATCTTAGGTAAACGAGTACCTACAAACTAAGAAAGAGCCGAATACCTATGGTGCAGGAAATCTATACTCGACAATCACATATTAAGCATCTTTAAACTCCTTCAACTTTTTACACAGGTATTATTTTTAAAATCTGACCAGTACTTTCGTTCTTCACAGTAAGCTCTACAAAGTTACCGGTCAAATTTTAAAAATAATATCTGTGTAAAAAGTTATAGGGTTTTAAAGTTCATAAGTTTGATCAAAAATTGAAACAACCACGTGATCAATTAGTATCATATAATTGGTTAAATTTGGTAGATCGAACTAAATATGGTACGGGACATCCGAAATATTAGGCATCTTTAAACTCCTTCAACTTTTTACACAGATATTATTTTTAAAATCTGACCAGTACTTTCGTTCTTCACAGTAAGCTCTACAAAGTTACCGGTCAAATTTTAAAATAATATCTGTGTAAAAAGTTATAGGGTTTTAAAGTTCATAAGTTTGATCGAAATTGAAACAACCACGTGATTATTAGTAACATATAATTGGTTAAATTTGGTAGATCGAACTAAAAAAATTTTGCTTATCATATTACGATAAGATATTATTGGTCAATTAAAATTGAAACAAACCACGTGATTGTCGAGTATAGATTTCCTGCACCATATATATATGATATGCAATATGGTTACACCACACTGTCTTTTGTATGTGTAACATTCTGAACCCCGAACACCCAAACACCCAATTAGGCGTCAGACTTGGAAAAATGCGGAGTGAAATCGGGCTATTTCTGGGCAAATAATAAAATTGTTATTATAAAAAATGATTTTTCCCATTGATTTTCAGAAATAGTTTGTAAACAGAATGTATATTCGATAACGAAAATTAAAATTATTCAGTTCTTTGGACCGAATTCTTAGTAACACTTTTGTCAGGAGAATTGTACTGTATGCTATTAAGTGTCTATTGGGCTTTTTTTTTAGCATAGAAGTAAGCTAACTTGTAACATTATGGTAAATTACGCTCTCTACCACCACAAAGATAGTTGTTGTTCTTTTATCCACCAATAATATTAAAAAAAAATAAGAGCATGACCGTTAAATTAAATAACTACTGCAATTTTCCAATAGCGCAACCCCAGTGTCTTTTGACAAATTTTTTTAGTAAGAAACAAACTCTATAGATAAATTCTATGTTAAATGCGATGAGATAAATGTTGATGAAATAAAATAAAAAAAAAATTACGTAAGGCAGACAGAGGTAATTTGGCAAATCTTAAGAGTAGCAGAATATCAATTGTCGATAATGCGCTGTTGTGGAGCCAATACGGATCACAAGCGAAAATTTGTAGTTATTAAAATTATACTTTATTAAAGTAAACGCGTTCTGTGACTATATAATTACATGCAAATTGTATGTACGATATATGTGAAAAAAATATAAAGATGCTGAAATAGTTGTATAATTCTTTGTAATAGATGTATAAATGCGCACGCCATTAAATTAAATGTAGCAACAAATTCCGTAATTGGGTCTATATAGAAACAATTAAAAAAGCTTCAAACGTGTGTATTAATTAGAGCGTTCTCCGATTTTGCTAATATTATTTTTCAAAAATTTAAAATTAAAGTATTAATTAAAGTTTACATAAACGCTGCTAAATGTTTGTATGCATGAAGAAAAAGAAAGTCGACGGAACAAGCAACACCCACTAATAAAACAATAATTAAAATATTCAATAAGCTCAGTACACGAGTCTTCGTTGATTAATTTGCCGACCCGGGGTAGATGTAGGTCGTAGCGCAATGCAAGGTTTCCACGCCGTCATATATATTGAAGTCGATGTAACAAGGCGTAGGCACAGTTTCCGGCTTAATTGTGTAGTTGAAGTTAAATTTAGTACCGTTTTTGACTGGACATGAGTTATAGTTACAAAAAATTTTCTGGGTATTGCAGCACAAAGCCATTGTCGTCGAAAAGATCGATTCGAAAAGTTGCCACGACAATGTCAAATGGCGCAGTTCCGGAAATGGTAAAAGTATCATTTCTGCCAGAAACAATAGGATCAGGTGACAGGGATATGTCGGGAAACGATGCATAAGGAAATTCCTTGCATGGATGAAATTGGGTAGCTCGTTTACTTAATCCATGCGGAATTGCACTAATTACTGAAGTTGTAACCAATACAAAGAATAGAAAGAAAATTGGGTGTTTCATGGTTTTTGTAGTTGCTAGTCGGGTCAATTGGTAATTGTTCAGTTGACATAGTCCAACATGCTATCAGGGCCATCATTTTTATAAGAAAAGAGTTTCCTAAATAATATTTTGTAATATCCAAAGTTGATGCCAAATTTGTGTATACAGCCATTCCTCCTCCCTCGAGGCGGAGATTTCTCTGAAGCGGGGATATAGCTAAGCTCGCTCCTGATCGGAAGGGAAGGCACCTAATTATGTCATACTTCCATAATTGTGATTGTAGACAATTTCCAAATTAAGCACTTTTCCTTCCGATGGGGACGTAGGGGTAGGCCCGAGCGATGAGTTATAAGTATAAATAAACACACGCCACCTTTCTTTTGGTTTGAATAATTATGCTAAACGTAGGTTTTTTCATCAAAATGTCAATGTCACACAGCATAACATGTGGAAAATCTTCTTGATCACATGTGTCAGTTTGGAATTTACGTCAATTTCAGAGTCAACGTACGTCAGTTTGAAAATTCGATAAAAAGATGCCAACAATGAGTGTATACTAACATTGTTATAACAAGCACTGCTAAGGGGTTATATTGTATAAATTCAGTAATAAAACGATATATGTGGAATAATTTACGCTTGGTTTTTATTTTAATATTATTCGTTTAGCTAACTGTTTAATTATCTTATTATTGTAGTGTGATATTGTTACTAACCATCGGTAATTATGTGATTCGATTTAATTTAATAAAATTATACCAATACCATTACTATTATGGAATTGATCTCTCAACAAGTCTCTGTTCAGACTTAACTACATAGTAGACAAATCATACGATTATAGTGAATGACGTAACCTTGAAGACTTATCGACGCAGCAAGCGGGTTAATTTTCTATTCACTTTTTTCAAGTTTTAATATTAATATATTATTACAGTACATTGTGCTCTGGTTAAATTGACAACTAGAACTTGCTTAAAGATCATTTCGAAGCAAGATGAGAGGAGCAGACCCTCCAATTAGTCTGTCCTTCTACTCGTATTAGTTTATTGACGATATATGTTAATACTTTTTAAATTGATCGAATCTATATTCTATATTATTTTGTATTTTCCGGCGAGAGTCAGATAAGTTGGAATTGTTTCTTTCCCGACTAATAGCCGAGTCATCGAATAAAGCAGAATAATAAATAGAACAAATAGTGAACTAATGCAGAAATGACTTATCGAAGTGCCAATCTCTAACCAACTCCCATCATCTCTAACTAAATAAAAGAAATTTAACGTCATCACGTCCGAAGTCGAGATCACCAGCAAACATAAACTAAATGAAGGTAAGCCCAATGCTTTGTTGACGATGTAAACTGCAGACGTGACAATGAAGAACGGGATTAATAGCTTAAGTAGCAATAATGCACCCATGAGAAATGGATCAAATACTGTTGTCAATCTATATACGCTCTGTAAAGAAAAACTACTCAAACTAGCTACATTACCAGTACCAAAGAATGCTACCAGCATGAAAAAAAGGAACATTAACGAAATGCGAAGATCTTCCAATGTCAGTGCTCTCTCTTTTCGTAATTCCCATGTTGGTCGTCGTTCCTGATGCAAATGTCGTTCCAACGCAAGCCATATCCAAAGCGTTATTGAGAATATACAATAAAATAGTACTTCGTATGAGATGCTCAATAGCACAAACAGCGGAGCGAACGACAAGTATATCGATATGAGACGATATGCATAATGTTTAGGATTAGTTCGTTCGTGAACAAATGGGGTGATTATCGATATCACTAGAGAAATGAGTCGTGTCAAATGGGATACACAATTGGTTTGAATCCATGCTGATAACTTTTTTAAAACTCACCTAGAATAACCCACCCGAGATATTTGTTCAGGGTAGGCAATCCAGTCTTTGCACGTAGACTACTGACGGTACCGTACACAGTTATCATACTCAATATAACCAGTATTAACTATTACGCGGAGAGTAGTCATCGAACATGTTAAAGTTGAGCAAGGAATAAATATTTTCCAATTAATCTAAAAAGTATCTGAACGACATCACTAACCTGAAAGAGAAAAGTCATGCCAATAACATTTGCATCTCCTTGCGTTGCTAGGCGATGCTTCTGATAATATGCATAGACACCAGTTATCATGATAAACAATCCACCAACGAGTCTATGAAGATGCAGTAAGACGAATATTAGTAAATCGTTGAAAAT